GCATACCTATTTTAGTTTCAGTAGTTTCTTCTTTTTTACCTAATTTTGCGTTGAAATCTCGCATAATGATGGTATACTTTGTATCATTTTCTTCTTATGCTGTTATCAAATCTCCGTAGAACATTTTAACTACTGTTGCAGTTTCGCAACTAAATAAACATTTGTAAATGTATTAACAGAATTTTTAATAGTTTCTGTTCTCCTCGTATATTTTAAAACCAGATTTGTGTGTAAGTGACACAGCCGTTTTAAGGGCTAAAGATTGCAAGGCGGGCCATCTGCCAAATATCACCACATGTGTGTGGTACCTAAAATAAGGGTTTGCGTTTGCTACAAAAGGAAGATTCGAAATGCATCTCTCGAACGATGAACATGTGTATGTAAAGACGAAGAGTACCTGACTCCGTAGCGGTCTTTTGACGAAAAAAGACGCTAATGTGCAACACAAAACTTTGGTAGTGGAAGTGTCGCTGAAGACACAATTTACGATAGCGTTGGGACTATCTTTTTCATGGGGTAAGGAAAAATACACCATTTATATACGATTGCTGCATATATCAAGTACGCGCACTTGGTATATTTATTTGATAACTTTTTTGGAACATTATTTCATTTGTGCCGCAATCGCGATTGAACAGTGTCAATTGGACATTTTACATTTGTTTCGCGGTTTACATACTGTATTGTATATTTTTGTACTTTGTTAATACCGATTTTATTTCTTGTGTGCTTTTTATTAATAATTCTATTAATTAATTATTTGTATGCTACCGCATTATTACTTTTTTTTATATCAATGACATATAAATCCATATTTTTATGTATTTTTTTTTTGTAATATGATTAATTTGTTTTTGTATCTTTTATGTATAGTATGTTTGCTGCCATGGTAGGTTTTGTCTTTTGTTTTGTCGGTGGTTTTTAATAGAATCGACATCTTTTTGTTTTGGTTTTGTTTATGGTTGTCTTTTGGTGTGTTTGTTGGTGTATTTCATAGTAGGTAATAGTTAAGTTTGTATATTCTTCTTTAATTATAATGGTATATGGTTATGTATATTTATGTTTAATTTTACACCTTTTTAAAATAGAGTTTTATACAGTCCACTGGCTTTGATTTCTTTTCTTTAGTTAAATATATATACCCATTTCGAAAGGGGGAAACCAGCGAGTTCTAGGTTGAACAGAATATCTCTCCCCCTTCAGGATGACCTTAATTGTTATATTGAGGTCATCGTATGTGCAGAACGCAACAACTACCTCTTCTTGATGTGTTGTTGTGGGAGCATATACTTGTATAACCTTGATCTTGGTTTTATTATCTAGTTATATTAGATATTATAATACAAGCTATTACTCTATCAGAAAAGCTTTTATATGTAGAAATGTATGGTGTGAGATACTGTTTGACAAGAAATCCTACTCCACCATCTATTTTCCCTGTATAATATAAGCGATTTCCAGAGCATGCATTGTTCGCCTCTTCTTTCCACTTCTGACAGCCCTACAATATCCCACCTTATCTTCGATAGTTTTTCTTTTAATTCGTAGATCTTTTCATCTTTAGCCATCGATTGGATGTTGTATGTGGCTAATAGTAACTGTTTTTGTTTGTTCGTATCTATTTTGGCGCGTTTTTTGAGCTTGTGCCTCCCCCAGAATCCGTGAGGCTGACCGGTTTTCCGGTATGGGATTTTGAGCTGCTAGCTCTACCCACCTGGGGTATCGTCCTATTTTAATAGATAATCGTAGAGCCGTTTCTCCTCGTACAATTACTGTATTCTGTTACAGTATGCGTTACCCTTCGATACATATTTCTTTTTGTACTATATGTTTGTATTATGTTTAAAATTACATTAAAAACTATCTGTGTTATCAGACACCAGAGGAAACATCTATTATTGTATACAGGGTGAGTCATAACTATTGGGACATAGACTAAGGACAGGTTATCTGGACCAAAATATGGCCATTGGGCTAAATATACCTTAATAAAATGTTGATGAGAAAAAAGATACAGGGTGTTAAAGTGGAAATTTGAAATTTTATTTTTGGCTATAACTTTCATGTTTGTAAACATTTATGTATAAAAATTTACAGCTGGATACTATTGAATATCGCAAATTATAATTTGATGCATACTTTAATATATCTAATAGAGGGCGCCACATATGCCACATACGTGGCATACATTTACACTTAACTTTTTTGTTCTTTAAATTACCGGTATTCTTGATAAAAAATATTAAAGATACATTATTTTAACAAAAAAAAGGTATACTTTTTAATAACTTCAAAACTCAATATTTTTCGAGATAATCGCATTTTACAAATCAACTGCATAATTCTGATTTAACGCAATTACTCCAGGCAATGAAAGAAAAATAGATAAAAACATTAATACTTCTGAATTTTGTTATAAAATACCTTTAATAAAGTCAATAGTTAACGAAATATTAAATAAAATAAATATACCAGCAGGATAATTAATAATAGGATTTGATAAAATAACAGAATAATTGGATTTTACATCAAACATTTTACGTTTTGTATTAAATTAAAGTCATAATCAAAACATTTTATTTACAAACCAAATTTAAAAATAGGTAAACTAAATAACATTAAACTTTTTGTCAAAGTAAGTGTTTGATATGTCTACCATTTTTTTAATTCATTTGTCAATACATTCCATAAAATATCATCTCATATTAAATAGCATCATTGGTTCCAAAGAACCTGCTGCAGTATTTATTATAGTTGTTGTAAGTATAATAATTAGTAATTTTTTAAAATTTTTATGAATTAAACAATTATTATTATCTCACCACAAGAATATGATTATCACGAACAATCCAACGTTCAGGAACGTGTATTTAAATACTGTCTTACTCTGCTTTCACTGTAATGTAATGGTGTACCATCTTGTAGAAACCACATATTTTGCCTTAAGTTTGATAACAATTCTTCCAATAAATCAATAAAATCATTTTATTAAAAATGTAAATCAATCTCGACATTCAAATTGCAAGGTAATTCGCATATCCGAAAAAAATAATTATCAATGGTTCCAAACCATGGGACTAAATTTTAAATATGAATTTTGAATGATATTTTACAGATATGCGAATTACCTTTCAATTTAAATGGTGAGATTTATCTACATTTTTTATAAAATGATTTTATTGATTTATTGGAAGAATTGTCATCAAACTTAAGGCGAAATATGAGGTTTGTACAAGATGGTACACCATTACATTACAGAGAAAGCGGAGTGAGACAGTATTTAAATACACTTTCCTGAACGTTGGATTGTTCGTGGTAGTCATATTCTTGTGGTAAGATAATAATACCTATTTAATTCATAAAAATTTCAGAAAATTACTAATTATTATATGTAAAACAACTATAATAAATACTGCAGCAGTTTCTTTAGAACCAATGATGCTATTTAATATGAGACGATATTTTATAGAATGTATTGACAAATGAATTAAAGAAAATGGTGGACATATCCAACACTGACTTTGATAAAAAGTTTACTGTTATTTAGTTTAACTATTTTTTAATTTGGTTTGTAAATAAAATGATTTGATTATGACTTTAATTTAATACAAAACGTAAAATGTTTGATGTAAAATCCAATTATTCTGTTATTTTATCAAATCCTATTATTATTTATCCTGCTGATATATTTATTTTATTTAATATTTCGTTAACTATTGACTTTATTAAAGGTATTTTATAACAAAATTCAAAAGTATTGATGTTTTTATCTATTTTTCTTTCATTGCCTGGAGTAATTGCATTAAATCAGAATTAAGTAGTTGATTTGTAAAATGCGATTATCTCGAAAACTGTTGAGTTTTGAAGTTATTAACACATATACCTTTTTTGTGTTTAAATAATGTATCTTTAATAGTTTTTATCAAGAATACCAATAACTTCAAGAACAAAAAAGTTAAGTGTAAAAGTATGCCACGTATGTGGCATATGTGACGCCCTCTATTAGATATATTAAAGTATGCATCAAATTATAATTTCTGATATTCAATAGTAGCCAACTCTAAATTTTTATACACAAATGTTTACAAACATGAAAGTTATAGCCAAAAATAAAATTTTAAATTTCCACTTTAACACCCTGTATCTTTTTTCTCAACAACATTTTATTAGAGCATATTTGGCCCAATAGCCATATTTTGTTCCAACTAACCTGTCCTTCGTCTATGTCCCAATAGTTATGACTCAACCTGTATAGTATTTATGACAATATTATGTGCAAAACTACAAACACGTATAAATAAAATGACGTCTGTTCGTCGCGTATCGAATTTCAATTTAAAAAACGTATCAGTTTATCTTTGAATCGTCAACTTATATTACAGATTAAATTATATGTAAGTTATGCAAAGATGCGATAATTCCACATCATTAAACGTGCTGACAAGGCGATTTCTTTCGACTGTATAAAAATAATTTTAAATTATAAAATTGTCACTTTTTGTTAAGATTTTGTAAAATAAAGTGGTCTCGTAAATTTCGTTAACTTAAAAAACATAGTATCGGGGCAGCGCATGGACGTAGCGTATTTTACTTAAAAAATATTTTAACGAAATTAAATATTTGTCAAAAACATTACTATTAATTGAAATAGAAATATTTGGGGCCAGTTTTTTACTGGCAACTTATTGTCAATATATTTTCCTAATTTGAAATATATATAAAAATGTGAGTAATCCTACTACAGTAGGCGTTTTCTTGAATTTTGAAAAACCCAGTACTGTATATCTGGTCGTCTAACTTCAGGTCCGAAATATTATATTTTTATGACTACCTACTGTTTGTTGTTGAGTGACGTAATATTCGCAAGTGTCACTCGTTTCGTTTGATAAACGAAAACAATCCCATAATAAATTCACACGATCTACAGGAAAGTGCGGTTGAATTCCGGTTATTGCGTTGCAAAGATTTTGTTTAAAATGTCCATGCATGAATGAAAAATCATGTTTAAATCAAGAAAATGGGACGTGGGTGTACAAGCATTGCCAATGCCCATCGATTCACTTTTTTCATTGTGAGTATATTTTAAAAACCAGAATCATTTTTTAACAATTTGGTGTGATATGTTTTTTATACTTTTTATAATAAATACCTAGAAATAATATGTGAACTACGACATTAGTAAATGCTAATTGAATATTTTAAATTTTCCAAGTTTTAGAGCAGTCATTCTCGTTTAAATTGTTAAAAAAATACTTTATTATTTCTATAATACTCCTATTTTCACGTTCAATGTTTATTCCGTTAATAATATTATTTCATCCTTTATTTTGAATGTTTTAAATCCAGTTATTCCGTAAATATACTTTATTCGTAGGTATATATCATATAGATTATTAATCTCTTTTTACATTGTAATTTTCGCTTTTAATCTAATATACCTAAAATTTTCGTTAAATCATAAACTTAATACATATTATTTTGTTAAACCTTGCTTGTATCTTTCTATTTGTTGCTAATCTGTTTGATGAACAAAAAACAGGTCCAGTCATATATGTATTGTGTTTGCATTCTTTGTCAATTTTTGGTTTTTAATAGAATATCTGAGGTATTGAATTTGTAAGAAATATTTTTTGTTCCGGAATCAAGTTTGTACTTAGTATATTAAAAATGTCTCGGTGTATAACTCTAGGAATATATTTATTGTACCTCCTATGGTATTTTATAGTATTTAGAATAGTTATAATAGTATATTCATCTTTCTTCATATTCACAGACATTAATTATTATGTTCTTTTACACTACTTATCTTTCAAATTCTTTTATATTAAGTATTTCTTCGATACTCTTGGATTCAGACTACTTTCTGACCAGCAATGTTGTCTGCTATCAAAAATGATGGTGTCTTTGAGTACAGGAGTCCTTTTTGGTTATTTCTGATTTTTGTTATGTCGTTTATGGGGATATTAAAGATCATAGCTTTTATTAGAAATGAAAAATGTCTATTCAATATTGATAAATGGTTAAAACCATTTTTTTTATATGACAGACATTTTTATTTACTACATTATCTATTTTTGCTAATTGACTTTGTGAGGTCTGGTCCTGTTCATAAAAAAAACAACATAATCCAGTACAACTGACCTAATGTAGAAAGCAGGAATGTTACATTTTTATCTGAAGCCCATTTTATTCCACATACTGACCATAAGAGATTAACTCATTTTTATATTTTATTGATTAAATGATTATTATTTTTTCATATAATTTTCTTATCCAGCTACATTCCTAGATATTTTTTGTAATCATATACAATATATGTTGTTCTGTCCAGTGTTGTTTCAGTTGAAATGTTTTTTCTTTTTCTCATGAAGATGCAGACATCTGTATTTTTAGTAGAAATTTTTTGACCACTTTCAATACACCATTTAGTAAGGTCCTTATGAGCCATGTTTAGTTTTTCGCATCCTTTTTCAATATATTGAAATGGTAAATATATAAATATCGTCCTTGTGGTTACCCAATATTGGTAATTTTTGGGTCCAATGTTTGATCATTCACAATCGAATGGACCAATTTAAGGTCCATTGTTCAATTTGATCATATTTGTACTGATACTGTCTTATCCCAATATAGTAATCAGTGAAGTCAAAGCTTTGAAGATTTAATTTTTTCGTAGATAATTTATAATATTACATTATCTATCCTAGGGTGATTCTATAATAAATCTAAAAATTTGCTGGAACTGATTTGTTTTGGGTTAAAGTCATATTTATATCACTTATTAGATGACCTTTATTTTTAATAGTTGCTCTTCTGAAAGCAAACTAGAATTTAGGTAATTTGTTGATGTTTTCGAGCCAATGAAGTAGTCTTGATCATTATTTCTAATGATTTTAAGATGCAAAAAGCTAGAGATACTGCTCTATATCAATCTGAATGTTTTGTATCTTGGTTTAGCTGTAGAATAAGTATTGCTATTGCTGAATATCCCTTCCAACTTCTTGGAAATTCTGCCTGTTTCTATATTATTTTTATTATTGTATGAAAAAATTCAAAACTAGCAAGCCTTTTATAATAAACGTTATACTGCGTGCGCTGTATTATTTGTTTTATTTCAATACTTAAGAACTCACTATCTATATTATCCACGCTCAGTGGAATGATGTGCCAGATATTTGTTTCTGATCAATTTTATTGAAGAAAGCTTCTACCTACTCACTCACCTAGATCCTATTTTTGTGGAGGATTAAATTGTTTTTTATTTTCTATATATACCTACTTCCAGATACCTTTTCTAGATGTATTCCCATTTAGATGTTTACAAAAAATTGTTTTTGAGAAAGACTCGCTTTTGCTTTGTGGTATTATTTTTTCGTGACTGTAAAATAATGAATTGTTATATTTTAACTAAGTACTTTTGTAAAGCAGAACACCGTTTAAATTCAGTACGTTTTTACATTTACAATAAAACAATTTAAAATTATGTTTTTAGAGCATGTTTTACCTAAAGCAGATTTATTATGAGGTTTGTCTTTTCTGTTTTGCATATAGCTATAAAGAAAAACAAACAAACAAACAATATATAGATTATAGTAAGTACTTTATTAATTTTCAAAATATGTCTCACCAATATCAATACACTTTTGCATACATTCAAACCAATTGGTAAAGCAGTTATTCCAATCTTCAGTTGACACCCGCAAAATCGCTGTTTAAAAGGCATCAATGGCTTCTTCTGTCTATATCGTCGAAGGTATAGCGAAGTTGAAATGGAATTGGGCAGGTCATATAGCGAGACTCAAAGACTCAAGATGGACCAGAAAACTAATTGACTGGCGCCCAAGAGAAGACAAACCCATCAGAGGACGACCACCAACACGTTGGATGATTAAAGAAATGGCAGCAAGACGCACAGAACCGTGAAGAGTGGCGAAAAATGGGAGAGACCTATGTCCAGCAGTGGACAGAAGAGGTTGTATGATGATGATGACGACCAGATTTTGACAAAAAACGGATTATTTTTGTTTGTTTTTCCTCATCGTGAAACACCCACACAGCGGATTGTCGTTTATTTTCCGGTTTCTTTTTCATTCTGTTCTGTTCTGTTTCGTTTTTTGTCGTTTCTTTTTCTTCTTCCAGGGGGCTTCCATCTGTGAAGTTATTGGGGCCAATGTTCGTCAATAGGTGTTCAAAGCATTTTAAACCTCTTCTTTCTATTCTGGCAATAACTGTTTCTGTATCATTTATGTTATTTCTTATAGATTCGTTAGTCTTCTTTTCCAGCCTTGATGTTCTAGCACTTCTTCTCACATAATCCATTTCAACTGCCCTTCAGGACAGACATTTTGTGGACAGGTGCATTGTCCTAATCGAAGAGGATTTTTTCTTCTTATAGTTCGCCCTGTTTTCACGAATGCTTATGTCCAATTTAATTAGAAGTTGAGGGTAGTCTTCTTCAATTGTGGCTTTATCTTTTTTAGGAGAGTCATTCCGCCGATGGTACTTTGTAGCACTGTGTAGTAATAAATCTTTGTTTCATCCATTGCAATGTTTCGACGAAAAGTCACTTGTTTTTCCTAAAACGCACCAAGCAATTTTCGGAAAGTGCCATGCGAATGTGTTTGTGATTCGCCGTAAGCAGGCCGGTTCACCTATCTTACGTAAAAATTGTATGTGCAATGCAGAAAAAATCTTGCGAGTAGTGTTGCGATATTTGGGTGAGATTGCAAACTTATCAGACTGCCTTGGCACCTGCAGCTAACGTTGCTGACAAAATGTAAAGTACCTATCTTTAACACTTTCTTTATCAGACCTGATCAGCGACGCAGTGCCACCGTTCTCAGGGTTATTGAAGTGCCAGCAGTACCAGCGACGTATATATACGGTTGCTCATTAAATGCAAAGATAAACTGAGAAAATGCTCTTGAATGTTCAGAAAAATATAAAACGAAAGTATTTTTAACTAATTATAAACTAAATATGAAATGAATACAAAAACAGTCATTAGAATTGTTCCTGGGTATGGCAAATGCCAAAGCAAGGATGTGAGCAGAGACCCACGTTACATTCTCGCCACATGTACCTTGATTCGCGCCGTTTCTTTGCTTGAGTCTTTGTTGTTGAGCAAACAGTTCATCTACGAACTTTGTTGTTGGGGACAATATCAGGAAAATGTCTACCTACAAGACGAAAAACGTTTCGCACAGGCACTACAGTTGTATGTTTTGGTAAATGATACCTAAAAATAACATCTCATTGAAACAAGATAATTTCAAGATTAGATCCACATACCTGTCTAGAAGCTGACGAATAAGGTTCAAGTGAAACTGGGCCAACGGTATTTTCTCTGGGCGTTTTGTAAGGTATATTGCATGTACATTTAGAATAGAAAAGTCCAATATGTGAAAGAATAGCTTTTTATACCATTTGACGGTTTTCCTAACGCTTTCTGTGGAACTGAGTAACATTTCAGTCCTGTCCACTGCTCCCATATTCATATTGTAATCTATTACCCAAGCTGGTTTTTTAATGAATTCATTTGTCTTTCGTCGGTCAGATAGCTCAGCGGGCTGTGCGGCTGCCTCTCATTCGCTTCACTGTCGAATGGTTCAGTGGATGTGGGATCGAGCCCCAGCTCGGTGTACAGAAAACAAAAAGTCTAACGCAGCAGTTTAAAATTCTAGATGAATCTGCGGCTTAGACTAGAATATGCTGGGATCTGATCGGCCTATGGTGGAGCAGTACGGCAAGAGATAAGGGCTTGCGGCTCGGTGATACTCCTCCATAGATCCCTACCGGACAGGCGTAACGCCAAAAAAACCGGATATATATATATATATATATATATATATATATATATATATATATATATATATATATATATATATATATGGTGGTATATATATATATATATATATATATATATATATATATATATGGTGGTATATATATATATATATATATATATATATATATATATATATATATATATATATATATATACATTTGTCTTTCTGTTTTTTTAGCGAATTCTACCATTTTGTCTTGGTGCATGGTAGTAAGCATAGTGAC